CCCACTACTGAGGGGTTCCCACCCCTGGGCCACAGGCCTCTTCCGGGACATGGGCCTTTCAGAACTGGGCCACATGAGCATGGCTGGCGCACAGGACCACGTGTAGCTTGACTTGCACAAGTGGCAGGCCAGCATGCATGTATGTGCGCGTGCAGCTCAACTTGCACAAGCGGTGGGCTGGCGGGCGCATGTGCTCACCAGCCCAACCCCTGGGCCACGGCCCACTTCTGGGCCATGGCCCATTTGGAACTGGGCCACACGAGTGGCTGGATGGCATACGGGGCATCTGTGCAGCTTAACTTGTGCAAATGGCAGGTTGGCGTGCATGTATGTGCGCATGCAGCTCAACGTCTGCAAGCAATCGGCCGGCGGGCGCACATGCTTGCCAGCCCAGCATTTGCATGAGTCACTTCCCCTCTCCCCTCCCCCTGCCGGACCACCAAGTCATAAAATTTGGGGCCCACTGTTGTAATATATAGATAGAGCTACTATTTTCCCTACAGAAGGGTTCAGGTGCAATCTTTGTCATTTCCAAAGAAAATATGTGTGCAGGGAACTCACAAGAGCCGCATCAACAGTGTAACAAACAGGTTTGTCCAAGATGGACCTGTAGTCTGACTTGGCATAAGGCAGTTGCACACAAACATCGGTAGAGTTGACTTGCTATTGGACTCTTCCATGAGAAAGAGTTGAACTGGGATTGGATCCGGACATCAAAAATAATGTAGGTTCTGTGTGCTTAAATAAATTCCTCGTGAAATTTCTGGATCACACAAACTTCAAAATCTAGTCTGTTACATCACAACCCCCATCATACCGAGTCCCACTCAACGGAAAGTACGGTTTTTATAGCTTGGTGATCTGGAAGGCACTGAAGTGGGGAAGGCTGATTTAAAGTGTAATCCTGCCTTAAATCACTAATCTTCTCCATGCTATAGAGACCAAGGTTGGATATCTGTACATGGAGACAAATGTAGACCTTTGAACCTCGCCTTCTAAGATGGCTGCCTTAAAGTAAAAATAAAAACAGGAGGAGATCACTTACTTTTCTGATTCAACTGGTGCTTTCTCCCTAGGGGGAGGAGTGGGGATTCTCTGTGCATTGAAATGGAAGAAGAGAGCAGGTCGATAAGTTCACTCCCAGAGGACTAACTATTCCTGAAAAGTTGATGTAAATAACCAGCTGCAAGAGTCTCTATTATGAGTGAAAAGATCCTCCCCCTTGGCAGATCCCAGGGAGGCTCTTAGAAACAAACCAAGGACTCCACACACACATAGGGATAGATAGGCTTTAAATGAGAAACAGTTGAGCTGCCCAAATTATGGAAACCATCTCTTTCTTCTCTTTTTTTTTAAATTTTTTTTATTTTATTTAAAATACATACATTCATTTCATCTTTCATTTAACGGTATGTCGTCTAGTTACAAATGTCTTGTGCCGTAACAATTACATTTTACAACCATATTCATTATTTTAATATTAATTCTCTATTCTTGTCACATTCTTATCATATGAGTATATAAATTATTTCTATCACTATAACACTTCTCTTCTTTATGGATTCAATTCTATTAATGTATTTTCTGTATTTCAAGCGTCTAATAATTATTTCTAGCTTTCATATTTTTCTCTAGCCATTGATAAAATAATTCCCATATCTGATCATATTCAGTTTGTTCCTTCTCTTTAATTGCAAGTATTAATCTGTTAATTTCTGCCCATTCTAGTATTTTCCTTATTACATTCTCTTCTGTCAGAATCTTTTCATTTTTCCAATTTTGTGTAAATACAATTCTAACTGCAATTACTACATGGATAATTAAATATATCTTATCTTTACTGTACGTTTCTCTTCTCAATAAATCTTTCTAAAGAGACTTTCTACAAACTACAGGTAGTCCTCGACTTACAACAGTTCATTTAATGACCGTTCAAAGTTCCAACAGCACTGAAAAAAAAGTGACATGACTGTTTTTCACATTTACAACCATGGCAGCATCCTCATGATCATGTGATCAAAATTAAGATGCTTGGCAATAACTATGAGAATAATAGTTATAATTATGGTGTACAATATTATATGTATTCAATAGAGATTATATTGTATAATTTTGAGAACAATGGTTATAAGCAAGGTGTATATATTATTCAAAAGAGACTTGATATAGACAGTACACTGTCGTTGCAGAAATGGAAATGTGATATATAATAAAGGAAAATGTATAATAAAAAATAATATATATAAAAAAATTAAGACCGCTTGGCAACTGGCATGTACTTATGACAGTTGCGGTGTCCCAGGGTCAAATGATCCCCTTTTGTGACTTTCTGACAAGCCAAGTCAATGGGGAAGCCAGATTCATTTAACAACTGTGTTACTAACTTAACAACTGCAGTCATTCACTTAACAACTGTGGCAAGAACGGTCATAAAATAGGGCAAAAACTCACTTTAACTGCTGTCTCATTTAGCAAAAGAAATTTTGGGCTCAGTTGTGGTCGGTCCTAAGTCCAGGACTATCTGTACATTTCTTCATTTGTAAGAAAAAGGAAGATTGCAGAAGGTAATAGGAAGGTCCTCAAGCTTACATAGGAAATTGGCTTCTCAAATCTTCCCAGAGTGCCTCAGCTCACCTGCTCTTGTCACCTCATCAGCTGCAGTTTCTATTTTTGTCTGGAAATTTGCACTAGGGCCACAAAGATCAAGCTTGGCTCTTGCTCTCCAGAGAATCAGTGTCAGTCTGAGATCTTGTGTCCACTTTGGGAAGGTTTCCTTCCAGAAATAGAACAGGAATTCAGGTCTTGGTTTAACCATTCCTTGCCTGGCATGGATTATCTCAGGTTTGCAATCAGCCCTATTTTGTTAATCCAAAGTCATTTACTCCAAAAGGAATTTAGGATTCATCAGTAGGCAGCTTTAGAAGTTTATATATTAAAATTGCAGGGTTCATCTTTTGTTACTAACTTACTTTCTCTATCCTACTTAAAATGTATTGCTTTCAATAATTATTAAAGAACTGGGGGAATGGGGGAGGCAGAACCATGGCACAGCTTAATTTATCTTGGTGACATAAAGTCTTCACCTTCCTTCCTGCCTTCCTGCTAAATTGTGATTATAGTCATTGGATCAAAACAGGATTTTTTTCTGACTTGAACTCTTGCAAGCTAATTTCAGTGTTTTGAGATGATTTTAGTAATCCTACTAAATGCAGTGAGGAAAGAGTATATTGGGAGACTATAAAAGGTAATCATTGCTACTGTAATGAGGAACTTTGTGGTATGTTCATGATAAACAAATGTTCTACTGTGCAAGATTTCATGGACCACAGTCCAATGGAATAATATATGTGTGAAATTTTAGGACTGTACAAGAGTCTACCCTGGTTTTAACGCAAGCGAATAAAAGGGTTATCTCTCTAAGAGAAAACATTTACAAAATGTTGTTTTTGTTATTATTTTGTTTACCACTGGAGAACACAAAAGGTGGAAATGGAAAACTGTGGAAAATAAAAAATGGAAAACTGGGTTTGGTCTTGGATCGTAATTTAATTTTGAACAGAAAACTTATCTAATCTAATTTGTGCTTTAAGGTGCAATCAGCTCCTCTCTTTGTTCCCTATCTAAAAAGGATCGAGGAAAAGTCCTGCCCATTTGATATGTGGGATACCAAAGTACCTAAATCTGCTGCTCCCCCTGAAAATCACAAAATCCAGGTCATGGTGTCTAGGAAGTGCCCCTGTCCACACCAGCCTGCAGAACTTCTGCTTGACCCAGCTGGCTGACTAGCAGCTCAGCTCTTCTGATCCCTCAGGGGTTTGGGTGGGTTTTGCTGACCTCTTCCCTCCATCCTCTTGCAACTTTTAACCCTATAAAGGGAAATATACGAGTGGGAACCAGCCACAGGCCTGCATCTTGTGAGGTTCAGTTGTTGTAAGTGAATGGTCCAAAGGCTACTGTTTTGCCCAATGCTAAAAACTAAAACAATTTCATTATTTTTCAATAGATATGATTCAGCCTGGCTTAATTTGGAACGAAACATGGGGGCAACTATGGAATTTAATTCCAGGTGGGAATTGTATTGTATAACTCCCACCCACCCACCGAGGTCTCATGTATAGTTTTTTACACGGGATCCAAGTGAACCTCTTTCGTTTGAAATCTTCTTCAGTTTTCTCATCACAGGAGTACAGTGGTTGGACTTTTGGAAAGGAAACCCCAAGACAATGATCTAAATTCCAACTGCAATGATTTAAATCCCAACTGCAACCACAGTGACTTTTCCAGCCATTATTGTATTTCAGGTCACCATTCTGGGTTGCTGCTTTGAGATGAAATCCCCATGTATCCTTCCTTAAGCTTTTAGGGGCAAGGGGGGATATTAATGGAAGAAATCAAAAGAATCACAGAAAGGTTAGCAATGATTTTTTTATAGGTAACATTTGGGAGTTTTGTGCATACCATTTTTTTTTCTCAAAATTGCTTCCCTTCTACTGGATTTTTTTTTTCTGGAAAAGTTAAGGAACATAGAAAGACAGGTGAGTTTGCACAACATAGACTAAAATAGGACTTTCTGGTTCAGCAGATGCCAGAAACTAGCTATTGGCTTGGCTGCATGTTGGATGAAAACAGGCCATCCACCCCATTAAACCAGGACATGTACTGGGAATATAGCAAGCTTGAGGTTTATTTAGCATGTTGTCTAAACCTAGCTGCTGAGTCAGCTTTCAGAATACTATCTCAGGCATTCAACAGCTCCTCAAGGTATAGAGGTGGGCTTTCCTCAAGCCCTTCTTGGAGATCCCCGAAACTGAACGAGGACCTTCTCGATGGAAGCTCATGCCTAGCTTAGCCCCTTGGTAGATTTCAGCAAAGAACAGGTACAATGTGGAAAGGCTTTCGAGACAGGTAGACCCGAGACGTTTGTAAACCTGAGAAGAATATTTGTGCAACAGACAGGTAGGTGCATACCTTGTATTCCTGGGCTGCCTCTTCTACAGGCACCACCGCATGAGGTCGGTGGTCCCGGGACCGGTCACACACCACGCAAATGGTCTTCTGGTCGTCTTTGCAGTAAAGCTTCAGGGCCTCCTTGTGCTTCTCGCAGATCCTGTCGTCCTCAAGGCCTCTCCCACCATGCAGGATGAACTGGCTGATGATCTCAGACATGTTGGCCAGCTGTCGGTTGGGCCTGAAGCTTTTCTCCTTGAACACTTCCCTGCACTGAGGGCAAGGGAAGTCCACCTCCAGGCTCTTCCAGCTCTTGGTGATACAAGCCCGGCAGAAATTGTGCCCACATTGGATGGACACGGGGTCTTTGAAATATTCCAGGCAAACTGAGCAAGTGGCTTCATCTTGCAGGTTTCCCGGGAGAAGGACGGCAGCCATGGCTCCACCTTCTCCTTCTTCTTCTTCTCTTCCTGCTTTCACTGCAGCATAGAGAGCACGAATGCTAGACACAAAACCCAGGGCAGGGTTTTCTGTGCCAGAAGCCAGCTGATGTTGCAAGGTCATCCCTGAAGCTTCTGGTTTCTTACTTGGCTATGAGTCAGCTCCTGGACAAGCTGGGAAATGCTAAGAGATCTTCAAAGTTTGGAAGAGAAGGAAAACTAGAGCAGGAGGTTTAATTAGGTTTGGAGAGACAGAAGGCACGTTTCCAGGCTCCTCGTGACTCATATTGTTTTTCAGTCCTGTCTAGGATGAGAGCAGAGGTTAATTTTTAACAGTGCTGAGAAGTTTCAGCTCACCGCACAGCAAAGCCAATCCCTCTGACCTGGAAATTGACCCTGCTAATCCACTTGAATAATAAACTTTGTTTTAAATAACCAGCAATTAGGGGACTCCAGAAAATTCACGATATCCATCAAACTTAATCTGATTTTTGCACTGATTTTAAATGACGTTTTAAGATAATTGCAATACAAGTATGAGCAAAGCAGACGGAAACATTCTGAACATAGATGTTCTCATTCATGCAACAATGTTCATTGTCCCCTATTAATTCATTGCTACAATAATGTTCCAAAACATTCTGGAAAACATTCTGCACATCCTCAGATGCACCGGTTTCTAATTCTTTAAATTCAAGAACTGGATTTAACAATTGTGTAATCTGGAAGTATGACAATTAGTAGAAAATTAGTTAAATTCTGACACACTGACTCAACCGCTTAATCCAGTGTTTCTCAACCTCAGCTGTTTTAAAATATGGGGATTTCAATTCCCAGAATTCCCCAGGCAGCACAGGCTCAGATTTCCTTCGTAACAACAGTGCTCACGCTTCGTGTTCATCTTTTGCATGTATTTTAACTGTGTTTGCCAATAAAATTGCGTTCACGAATGATATCACAATTTTTCTAATTGTAAACATTTAAAACTTACTGTGACCAAATCCTTGTGCTTCCTGTGAAAACTTTAGAACCAAGTGCCCTTTGTTATAAAGCAATTAAAGAGATTTTCCAGCTTATGTGCCTGATTGGTTTTACATGTCAGGCATAAATGAAAACACTGTCTCCTGGGACAACATTTCTTTTGAACCAACAAGTACGTTTTTTCTTCTCTTGCTGAGTGGTGCCCTTTCCCTCCTGCCCTTTCCCCCCAATTACATGGAACGACAGGGGAAATAGTTTGATGTAGTGGTTTAGGCACCAGGGAGAAACTGGGAGATGTAGGCACACAGCCAGCTGCATAGCCTTGGGCCAGTCACCTTCCCTCAGCCCTAGAAAGAAGGCAAGGGCAAACCACTTCTAAAATCTTGCCAAGAAAATTGCAGGGACTTACTCAGGCAGTTGCCAGGAGCCAAGGCTACCTCAAAGGCACAAAATATGTTACTGTTCATTATTGATAGTTTAGAATACAGAATAACAGAGTTGGAAGGGATCTTGGAGGTGTTCTAGTCCAGTGGTCGCCAACTGGTGGACCACAGCCACTGGTGGTCCGCGAGAAAATTTTGGTGGGCCGCAGAGAAATGTCACCCCTAGAGCACCCCCCTAAGCAATTAATCCAGGCTGTACGGGAACACAAGGCTGTGCCGCCAACATGGCCCACAGGAACCCTCCCTGCCCACTCACTCCTTACCTGGCAAACTTGTCTGCTAAGTTGCTATTTTTCCTTTTTTTTTCCCCCAACCATCAGCTGTTCTGCCGTGCTGGGAGATTTAGATTAGCTAGAAAGCAGCAAACCATTGGATTTCTTGCTTTCTAGCTAATCTTTATATCTTTGGCTCTGCTTTTAAGCAGAGCCGAACCTTCCTTAGGACTGAAGTTTCTATTATTCAGTGCAGAGCCAGGTAGCTGATGGCAGAAAGATAGATCTCTGAGTGAATCTGTGATTTTGTGAGCAACTCAATCTGCCTGCCTGCTTTGCCTGATTTTGAGTAAAAGTTGCTCTTTTTTATAAAAAAATTCTAATATTTACAGAAATATGTATAATATTTATATACAAGCCATGCCCAGCCAGTCACATGACCACCAAGCCACACCCACAAATTAGGCCACACCCACAGAACTGGTTAAGAAATTTGAATCCCACCCCTGCCTCTGTGTGTGTGTGAGAGAGAGAGAAAGAGAGAGAGGTTAGATCAGATCTCTTTCTTTCTCTCTCTCTCTCGCACCAATGTCAGCAAGCCACTTTCACTCAAAATTCATATTAGTGGTCCATGGGATTTAAAATTATGAGTTTGGTGGTCCGAGGTCCAAAAGGTTGGCGACCCCTGTTCTAGTCTACCCCCTGTTCAAGCAGGAAGCCCTTTACCATTTCAGACAAATGGTGCCCAATCTCTTCCTGAAAACCTCCAGTGTTGGACCACCCACAACTTCTGGAGACCAGCAATTCTACTGATTAATTGTTCTGACAGGGAATTTCTCCAACGTTCTAGATTGGATCTTTTCTTGATAAATTTCCATACATTTCTTCTTGTCCTACCTTCAGGTCCTTTGGAGACTGGCTTGACTCCCTCTTCTTTGTGGCAACCCCTGAGATATTGAAACACTGCTATCATGTCACCCCTAGTCCTTCTTTTCATTAGACTAAACATACCTAATTCTTGCAACCCTTCTTCATATTTTAGCCTCTATCCCCCTTAATTATCTTCGACGTTTTCTCTGCACACTACTATCTCAATCTTTTTTTATGTAATTTGTTTTTCAGATTTATTTTGTTTCTATATCTTATGCACATTTTCCTTATCTTTAAGCTAATTCTTTATTTGCAGAGTGCATTTGGTAATTAACTTGTTTATTTTTTTATGAATCTACGGAATAGGGTATTCCCAATACAGCCAGCAGGGGGCACCGGAACTCTAGGATCTTGGATTTACAGTCCTATACTGTATGTGAGTTTCACCTGTATGTGTTCAGCCTGCAAACAAAAAATAATTATCTCCGTCTGATATATATTTATCTACTTTTCTTAGAGAGAAAAAGTCTCTGTAACTAAAATTCACAGAGAAAGTCTATCTAAGTTAGGAATCAAAAACAATTTGATGGCATATAACCAAGAAAAGTATTTGTGGAAATGAGAAATTCCGTAATGCATCCGATAGTAAATGAATTAAATTAATTTAATCACAAACTCAAACATTCCAGTAATCATGACTCTAACCTCATATTCAAAATGTTTTCATGACTCACAGCAGGGTTGGATTTGTGTTGGTTTAGTGGTAGAATAAATTTTTGTTCCTCCCTAATGAAATATGTTTAGACTATTAAAATCTTCTCTGAAAAAAGGGACTTTTATCTTGATATAGCTAACAGAAAAAGAGAGTTGAAAGGGACTTGATAACTAGTTAAATAGCAGTATCTCTGAGACAATCCCACCAAGAATCTGTTGTTAATATTGCCACTAGTACTTTGTACTTTGGCTCCTGTGGTAGAAATAATACTAGCACTAGCCAGACTGCTCTCAGCAACCAGAAGACGAATAATTTCTTGACATTTTGCTTCTACTACCAAACAAAAAATGACTCCTGGTCCATCCCATATGTATCTGAGATGACATCAGTGTATTTCAGTTTCATGGTTGCATGAAAAAGAAGTAAAACAAATGACTTCATCCCCCCAAAGGTGCTTTTTCAGGAGGCAACTGGACTGTTTTTTCTTTGAAGATGTTTTGCTTCTCAACCAAGAAGCTTCTTCAGCTCTGACAAGATAGTGGGGCAGGGAAGGATTTATATTCCTTGCAGTTAGTCATTTGCATCCTGTCAGGGGGTCATTGAAGCACTTGGAGGTTTATCTGTCTCCTCAGGGTCACCTGAGTAGTGCTCCTGGTTCCTGTAGTCTGCCATTTTTTCCTCTGAAAATCCATTCCTACTCACACACCATTCAAAGGGTGTTCATCCCAAATTGTATAGCTAAAGGTCTGTAGAGATTCTCAGTCATCCAGGTTATGGTTGTCCCAAAGGTGCTTTTTCAGGAGGCAACTGGACTTTCTTGTTTTGAAGACATTTCACTTCTCATCCAAGAGGCTTTTTTGGCTGACAGGATAGTGTCCAATGGAAGGGTTTGTATTCCTTGCAGACAGCTGGTCATTTGCATCCTTTTAGAGGGTTGTTTCAAAGAAAAAGAAAAAAATAAGGTGGTTGCCTCCTGAAAAAGCACCTTTGGGACAACCATCACCTGGATGACTGAGAATCTTTAGACTTTTAAATGACTCGCATGCCTGAAGTCAGAAAAGCCAGATCTCTTAAGTGCCAGCCAAAAGTCCCACAGTTTAATGTTGTTTGCCAACTAATACTTTACAGATAACCTGGACTCCAATTCCCATCCTCCTCTGCCATGGAAGAATGGAGTCTATTATAACACATCCAAATATACAAGGCTGGGGAAGGCTGCTTCAATGGACAGGACTACAGCCAAGTTTCATACCTTGTTTCATACCTTCTTCACAATTAAAAAAGGGACTCCTGTGTCAAATTCAATTCAGCTTTTTATCTACCGTATATAGTCTAATTTCCTCTGCACACACATCAAGACAGTTTGCCATTGCCATTGTCAGTTTCAATTTTCTTTTCACTTCCCAGTTTAGCCAGGGACTTCCTGGTGATCTTCCATACAAATCATGCTTGGCTTTTTCTGAGATCAACTAGGTCAGCTGAGAGTTGAAATCCACTCCCAAAGTGTGAAAATATAATTTGATTTACAGCAGGGTAACTTTTAAAGTTCCATTTTACTGAAGCAGAAGCCATTGTGTTCAACCAAAATCATTGGATAGTTACTCGTCAGGTGTTGGGTCAGAACTAAGCTAAGCACACGATTAAAAGATAACGTTATTAAAATTGGACCTTGGGTTTCTTCCCAAAATTATGATTTAAAAAAAAACTCCGAGCTTTATTTTGGGTACTTGCTCCTTCTTACAGAAACATGCTGTGCTCAACGAGCAGACATGGCAAAAATTTTACAAAAAAAAATATGCATACAGAAAAGAGATACTATACAAACAGAATATGAAATACACTAAAGAACATACTAACAGTCTTTATTATGATTTGTGTATTCTGTAGGCATCAACCATAACCCCAGAGTTCCTTTAAGACATTGCATTTCATCGTTAAAATCAGAGCATCCAGTTTATTATTATGGCACAAACATCTGTCCATTTCATTTCCAGGATCAGACTGAAGACAGGGAAGGTTGTAATCAAGTTTCAGAGAACGGCAGCAAAAGAGAAGAACCTACAGGTGTAGAGGAAGGACGGTCCAGTCAAAGCTGCCATAGATGCCAAGACTCAGTGCTTCCGTTTAGGATCTCTGACCCAGGGATGGCCAAATTTAGGTATATGGTACTCCAAAAAAAAGGGGGGGGGGGTTCAGCACAAAGGACAGAGTTAAAGCCTTTCATTTCAAAGGAAAACATACTGCTAGGTATTGCAGCTGAAACACATGCAGTCATTTTTAAAGTAAAATCTTTAAAACGCAAAATATGAACTGATTGAAGAGGAACTAAAAATGCAAAAATTTAATAGCTAATTTTCTTTTTTTTTTCTTTTCAAAATTAAAAAGGTCAAGCCTAACGTTAGAAAGGGGTCATCTTGATCCCTTGGTGAAAGAGGATGTCCTAAAAGGGATATTATGTCAGGAAGGCCAAGCCAGCCTACCTACTCTTTTCAATTCTTCCTTTGTTCCCCAGGGCAACAGTCTTAAGGCCTTGGTGTGCAAGGAGAGTTGTTCTGCTTCCGTGTCACATTCTACAGTACACAAAGCGGAGATAAAACAGCCAATCTTTCCAATCTCTTTAAATCAAAATGGCTCAACACCCTGCTCTGATCTGGCAGGTTTAAGAGATCTGTAATTTTTTTTTCTCTGGGTACGTGGATACTTTTAAATTATGGACTCATTATATCCATTTCATGTACCCCAACTGGGTATTTTACACCCATACGCCTCAGAAACACAGACTGGGCTGGGAAACCTACTACCCACAGCAAAGGATGGGTACGCGCCCCATTAAAAGAAGCTGGTGGGAATGTGAAGATGGGGTCCTCAGTGTCTGCATCAGTAAAGGTCACACATTCCCCCACATAGTCCAAGGACACTCGGATTCTTTTGGGGTGTTGGCTCAGGGACAAGGCCGTAACAGGGGAAGTGAGGGCCCAGTGTTGGCCCTTCCACAGCCCCACAGCCCAGATCCCCTCCTCTGGGCTGAAGTCCATCATCCCCTTCTTCTTGGAAGGATCTCGGGTGACCCCCACTGCCCAGAATTCCCCATCGCCCACTTCCAATTCCCAAAAGTATCTCCCAGAGGTGAACCCATCACAGCCCAGAACCAGAGCTCTGGAATCCATTCTCTGGGGAGTGTCAGGAACATAATGTAAGGCAGGCAGCCTGTGCCGAGATTCTCCATCTCCGGCATTTCTTTGGTCCAGGGGCAGAAGAGCACTTGAGAAATCCAGGTCCAGAGTTGACATTCCTGTGAGCAGAAAGAAGCAACATTTGTCAGCACCTTGATTTTCCTTCCACTTCTGGCTCTTGTTTGCTCAGCTCTGTATCCCTACATCTCTCTGTATCGTTAGCTATTCCTGGCAACTTCCCCAAAATTCAGGTACACTGCAACTCTACCTTGGACTGAGATTCCCAGAAATCACAACCGCATGGAATCAGCAGGCCACCTGCATAAATCCCCCGGGTGGTTCAAAAAAATGTGAAAAAATAAATAAAAACAAATACAACTATTATCTACTGAGCCATAGAATCCTTGCATCCCCAGTTAAGGTGGTTTCAGGACTGTTGAGAGCTCTCTGCTAAGATCTTAAACAGAGCCAACAGATGGAATTCAATAGATTAATAGATGAAAGCAAAGGACAAGGACTTCCAAGTCCAAATCAAAGGACTTGTTACACCCAAGAGCCCTACAATCAAGACTCCCGAATATTAAAATTAAAAAACAACTGCCTCACAGATTAGGGAAATAAAACCTCACACTCCAAAGAGTACTTTTCATTCACATACCTGCCATATATCTCAGATATGCTTCTTTTTAATTGACTCATTCACCCAGTTAAGAGAAAGAGGGAGGGGAAAAAACAAAGTGCCACTCTGCGGATGACTAAAAAATAAAAGGAAGTTCCACACAATACTTTAAAAGAATTCAGAGTTTTTATAATCTCCTACTTCAGGCTGTTTCTAATCCTTGGATTTACAGTTTTGATTTTCTTTCTTTAGTAAACTTGCAATCATTAGTCTTTTGGCAAAACACTCTACGAAAGAATTGTGAATGCGAAATGAATAAATGGCTAAGAATTCGCACTAGATTATACTCCGTACAGGAATAAAAGCAAGCCGTGTCCCCACTCTGCATTAGCAATATATCCTCAGTACCTGAAGCAGCTTTCATTGGAAATCAAGTAAAACACAGAAACAGGTACAAATTCAACAGATGTTTCCCCAAAACTCACTTTTATCATTCAGTGATTTCACAGTGTCTGTTCTCTCGATGGCATATGTCACATTATCTAGAGAAAACAGGTATTTGTCAAAATTTAGCTCCTCCAATGTAGGGAAAACTAACTTTACTGATTAACCAGTGAAACCAGAGGGATGTGGCTCAATGATGCAGGAACTGCCAGACAAGAAATGGTCTGCATTCCGGCGGTTCAAGCCCGGCTCCATGAGACGGAATGAGCTCCCCTTGATCCTGCCTCCCCAGCAATTGGAAAGCATGCAATATTATGACTAACAGGACTTCAATGAAAAAAAACCTAGCTGCGTCCGTGTATGCTGAGAGCGGAAACCAGCTGTCAGCCCTGTCCCATCTTGGGCATTTAGGAAAGAAAGACCCCCAATTCCATTCATAGCGAAAGGTATGTTTTTACTAAATCCAAGTGGTTACAGCATAAGCAAAGCCAGATCTGAATATTCCTGCATAAACCCAGTGATTTTCCCTTCTCCCGCAGTATCCTGGGTTAGCAATTAGAGGCTACTGATTATTTAATCACTTTTGCGTACCTTGAAATCTATTCATAGTTTCCTTCAGAGCCACCCCTTTCCGTGACAGCAACTCCAGTCGCTCTCCCAGCTCGGATGTCGCTTCTTCAGCTGACGGGAACTGTTCTACGGTGCATCTGAATTTTTAAAGAGCACATTTACACCGCTTATTAAAAAGTTCAATTTTTGGCATGTTCTGTATTTTTTAAGGACTACAATAACAACATACTAGCCTAGTATCCTAATCCAAGGAAAGCAGCACTAATACATACCAAATTCTAGCACCTCACTTTTTTATATATTTGCCTTTCTTGCTCCAGAAATGCTAACTCCTACTTCAAGCACGCAAGGTGGTGTAATTGCTTCAGGTGACCGATTTTTGAGTGCTTGCAAATGAAACCAGTAATAGAAACTACCTGACTTTTTTTATGCAAAACTCCAACATCTGTTTTGACAATATGTACCCTAGAGAATTAATAATACATTATGCTCTCTGTTAATGAGCATATAGTCTGGTAGCTCCACTATTCTAAAAAAATAATTCTTCTTTGCTTCGTCACAGTTGCCATTTTTCTTTTATGGCAGCTAAGCACTTGTATTAAGATTAGAGCTAGTCCCACCGATGTGACCTCCCTCCGAAAGCCCCTCGATTGCCCTGATTTTAGCAGAAAATGTAAGAGCATTCCATGACCTTCGCCTACAAAACCCAAGGACGGTGCTTTAGAATGGAAGACCCTGAGGAGAAGGGGAAGGAGGAGAATTGTACGTACCTGTCCATGTTTTTTTTAATGTCCTAGAAGAGAAAAAGAAAGAAAAAAAGAAGACATTGAGCCTCACAGTGCCCTACCCCTGCAGTCTATCACTGGCTAATGGGGAGCATGCCTCAGCACCCTTGTCTCGGGCTGCAGAGGAGGACTCTGTGGGCGCTGTCCAAGGCATGACAGGTGGGAGCTTTGTTCTAGCCTCTGGTGCTTACAAGGCAGGGGGAAGTAGCCTGCCCCCCCAGTCACCCTCAGGCTCTTACCTGTGATCCCTGAGGTGGAACATCGGATGTTTGCTTCAAGACAAGAGGTGGGGGATGCTCCGGTTACACACGGGAGCCTTCAGGCCACGTTGCTCTCCCTGGTGCTGTAACTGGTTCTCTGAGGAGAAGGGCTGCCCTAATTCTTTCAGCAGCCTTCTCCTCCCCGAACTGTCCGCCCACCCTTTCTGCCAGTGAGCAGGCTGGCTTTGTGGCCCCCTCCAGGGCCTGCCCACCAGCTACACCTTGCTTCACCACCCACAGGACCTCTAAGTGGGCTGTCTGGTAGGCACACCTAATGCAGAGGAGGGCATGGCTTATACTTCGGCCCAACCGAGGCAACTGTGCCTTGTGCTTTGACAAGCCCAGGCTCAGAAGGAAGGACCCCCAAAGGCCGCCCCCCCACCCGCCCGCAATGCCCCGTCCCAGGGTCACGGTGACTCTTCACCATCACCCGTTGTGCCTCAGAGAGATTCTCTGCACGTCACAGGTTACCTAAAAATCTTGTCCTTGTTGCTTGTGATCAGAAAGCTGGTTGCAAAATAATTAAAAAACAAAACAAAACAAAACAAAACAAAACAAAAGGATTCTGTGCCAAGAGATCAAGTGCGCAGGAGGTGCTGCTCGATTTTTAAAATAAACCAGCCTCACATCCTTGGAATAGCTACATATGATGTTCGCCACGGAGTGGACCACAGGAAGACCCTAAGGAGATCCCAGAAAACGCAGGCTTTTTTGCAGGCACACATACGGCACAACACCCTCTTGTTCTTCTCCACAAGAGAAACCCCACTTGTTCACTACGTGCCCAAGTTACTTTCCTCCCCCGCTCCCCCCACCAACCCGTGTCTCTTTGGAGGCATGCAACTCATCCATGGACCAAATGTTAGGAGCAACATCGAATCCCATCCCGTCACTGCAGCGGCTGCAGCCCGAGAACCCAATCGCCCTTGAGAGAACCCATATTAACAGGACAGTACGTACTAGAGGTCTGCATGGCAGCCATACCCGATGGGTCCCGACATGAACCTGAAGGAATGGGATCATCCAGGCCAGCTTCTCAACAGCCTTCAGGTCAGGCTGAGGGACCTGGAAGTACATCTGCCAACAGCAGAATGCTACGATGTCATAGCATCCTGCAATGGGAGGAGCTCCAGAGCTCCAGCTCTTCCTTGTAGAAGTCGAAGGGCACCGTTCCACGAGAGCACAGACCAAACTAGTAAGGTCCCCCTTCATCTTCCCACGAAAGGTCAACACTCTGCAAGGGTGGAAAATACTCCCACCCATAGCATGGAATTAATCGGGCTTCATCACCAACAGCCGCACCAACCAGAAAGGCCAATGCCAACACATGTGCAGAGTAGAAAGGGAAGGGGGAACACCTTTCAGGGAAGCCCCCATTACCTGTCTATGGCCTGTACCCCACTGTGGCCAATATGTAGATCTTTCCCCCCATAAGAATAAATACTTGAATCCTTGTTCTGGGTTCCAGTAGGGATCACATCCAAGTTCATGTTTGACCAACTATATCTAAGGGCCAGGAATGCACAAACCTCACATCCAAAACCTTGGGAGCCCAGTGCCAGGGCCTCTGACTCATTGGTAAGGTCACCTCCAAGCCAGAAAGAGAGACCTTTGTGATCGCAAAGTCTCACCTGCAAAAATTCACTCGCCGGTTGCTTGCTTTTCATCTCCATCTCAGTGATGACATCACCAAGACGGGTAAGTTCTTCTGAGATTTTGGTCATCATGTCGTCTTTCTGCTTCTCTAGGTCTTTATCTAGCTCTTCCAGCTGGGTCAGCAGGCGTTCCTCCTGTTGTTTCAGGAACTGATGCAGCTGTTCAAATTCAGTGACGATGTCCTTCCTTTCGGTCTCAACCTTTTCCTATAAGGACCAGAGGTGGGGTGAGAAAGGAGTGAACCATCCCAACGAGGAATATAACCAGAAGATCATTATGAGGTTGAAGGAGACACAGTGCAAAACGGATGGTATTATACGGCATCCTGGAGTCATGGGCTCACCATTTAAAACTTTCCTAGCCAGCTTCCAACAAGCAAGGTTAATAGGAAAAGAGGGATTCGCTTAATGATCATGTGTTTCACTTAACAACTGCGGTGATTCGCTCGAGAACTGTGGCAAACTAGGATATAAAATCAGGCATAACTCACTTAACAACTGCTTGCTTAGTATGGAAATTTGGGTCCCAAATGAGGACTTCTTGTAGATATTGCATAAGAGACAGTGTAGACACAGAAGAAATGGCCATAGAACACTTTGAAGAAACGGAGAATCAAAACACAATAAGGAGAATTTTTGAGAAGAGTGTGTGTGTAAGGAATTCAGAAATTCAAGCCCTACTTCTCTGCTCATGATATGTAATGGTACCTACCGTGTATTCTTGGATTTTCTTCTCGCCTGACAGCTTCTGGCTCCACAGATTATTTTTTTCCTGCTTCAGAGTTTCTAATTGTGCCTTAACTCGCGCCTGAATAAATAAAAACGGCTTGAGATAGGGGGGAGAAGATTAGAGGCAGTAAGACCTTGGAAATTACAGCACAGGCAGCCTGCGTTCACATAATATGCTAATCTTTGGTTAACTATTTTACCTCAATTGGCTACTTCACACAACATACTAACCCGTAAATAAACCAAACTGGATGGGACTGCATACAAACTAAATTAGCCTTTCTCAGTTGGGGTCCCTGAGAAGTTTCTAGGGGTTCAGCAAGAGGTTGTGATTGACTTTGCATGCTACATAATGCCAGCTGTAGATATTTATTTTATTTATATGTCAAATTTAGAAACTGTCATCTCCCTTCCCAGAGTGACTCTGGGAGGTATATATATATTAATTTGTATGCAGGGAAACTCAGAGACCTAAACATTATTTCAAGAGTCCTCCAGAACAAAAAGTTTGAGAAATACTATAGTGGATAATTGCAACATAGGTTAGAACGTTGTTGGGCCAATATTTCTTATCCACTACACTGCCATAATGCCTATCCAAAAGAAATAGGTATACAAAGCAGAATACTGAAGTCATCTCATTCCCACTAGTATGAACGTTCTTGTTTCTTTAGGCTTCATAACGGGTGACAGCCATAAAGCTAACTCTTGCTTCTTAAAACAACATTCAAGAGTCTTGGGCACTGATTCTATCTGTACCAACCCTATAGTCCCATAGATCACCAAAGTAATACAATACACAAAACCTTGATATTGGACACCAGAGATTACAATGCTCCATTTAGCTGCAGATTTTATTTCATTAGAGCTAAAACTAGAGAAGGCCCTTGTGCAAATGTTGGTGACAGTTGAATTTTCAAATACTTGCATGGATTTGTGGATCAAAAGTAATTAAAAAAAAAACCTTCAAAACCTAGTATGCACTTCTGGGATCCTCGAACAGTCTTTTAACTAAGTACTAGGCTCTAATGGCTATTTGGCCTTTTCATGATCAGACAGTCAATCAGATGCTGCTAACTTGTAAGAACATAGTGTAGCAAGCATAAATAAATCAAAAATTTCTCTTCTGAACCCGGTCTTGTCAAAGAAACAGGAAAATATAATAAATATTAAAGCTCTATCAATAAATACATGAAATTAAGCTACAAACAGAAGTATGATTATTTAATATGTTGTGCATTCCATATAGTAAACGCAACACAAGTAGTCCTCAACTTACAAATATTCATTTAGTGACTGTTCAAAGTTACAGTGGCACTGAAAAAAGTGACTCATTACTATTTTTCAGACTGTTGCAGCACAAACAACCTGTGGTCATGTGATCAACATTTGGTTGCTTGGCAACAAGCTCACTACAGTTGCAGTGTCCCAATCATGTGGTCACCTTTTGGAACCATTTGACAAGCAAAGTCAAAGGGGAAGCCAGATTAACAGTAATTCACTTAACTGTGCCAAGAAAGGTCAAAAAATGGGTCAAAAGTCACTTAGCCACTGTCTTGTTTAGCAACGGAAACCTTGCTTCAATTGTGGTTATAAATTGAAAACTACTTAAGTGTCTTGCCTTCCAGATCATTGCACAAAGATATGTTTAGCACTTCTGAGATTGCTGGATGCCCATATTCATAACCCTGCTGTCAATAAAACAGATTGCTCAGTCAAATTAACATTTAAATGTCCATATTATCAATTTACAATTCATTAAAGCCCTGGTCACTTTATATTTGGACTAGTACAATGTGCTTCCATCCAGAAAGTATAGCTGGTTCAAAACACAGTGCTGTAAACAGTAAAGGGGCCTTATGTATTTTTCATATTCATATATATGGATCTTTGGTTATTCG